CTTATTTCATTTCTTTTGGCTTGGACGACTAGATGATAATTGGCAAATTTTCAACAACAACAACAATTGACGACTAGATGAAAATAACGAGTCAAAACTAATTGTGAGACACTATTCACTGTCGGCGGTGTAAACTGTAGTGGCGAATGGGTAATTCTGTGATAAGCCTTTGTGAGGACAAAATGAGTGTTGATGCTGATGACATGGAAATAATGCAGGAATACAATGCCTATTTAATGCTCGGAGTGATGAAACTAATAAGATGTTAACGCTCACTAATGTCTGTTGTCTATTTATCTCTGCAGGTGGAGAACTAAGAATGAGCAGCTGAGACAATACAACGCTGTTAAAGTTATACTCTAGGTGTCAAGCTTCAAAACATCATAAGATCACAATGTTGCCAACCCACCATGTGCCTAAATGTGCCATTACTTTAACTTAAGTACATATAAGGTGACTTTATGAACCTTTTTGAACACATCATGCCCAGTTTATGAACTTTTACAAAAGCAAATATTGGGCACCACTGGCAGCGAATAATGGTCAGAGAAATTACCACATGCTTCCAACATGCAAAGCATTTCCTATAAATTGTATGATTTTTTCATATGTAACATGCCCATTCTCTCAATCAATGTACCCTTGATTGCCATTTCACTGGGCAAGCTTTATCATCCCATGAATTTTGCAGATTGGAGTTACGAGATTCTAGTATGACGCCTTGATTTGTATCGATTTTAAACGCTGTTGTGTTAGCTAAAAGTCGCAAAAACCATTGAAATGTACCTTGGATTTAGCTTGGACGCACAGATACTTGTGTAACCATATCCCCTTGCACGCAGCTTAAGGCAATTTGTGAGCGATCCACATTATGCAATGATGGCCAGGACTGGCAGTGAATGATTACCAGTGGACTTAAACTACATCTTACCTTACAACTTTTCAAGGGCCGATCCCCACATAGCTAACGTCTGTAAATTGCATTGTATGCTGTAAATGAAAATTAAGGAGGCGAAAACTGTTCCTAGAAGCGTATTTAGTCCAGCACATGCAAAAATTTCACTCGTGGTATAAATGTGCTGTAAAGCTACCAGAATGTGCTGTAAAGCTACGAGCCCCAGTACCAGGCCCAGACCGAACCGCAAACGCAGCCACAGCCGCAGCCCAGCTCTGTAGGGACACTGCCTAGCGCCGCGCTGATCACGTTACGCACACAACCGACGGCGATGTGGCCAAGGAGGATTCGAGTGCAGGGGCGCCGGAATTATATTCAAGTTGGGGTGAGAGGGAACTCCAAAATGCCAAAATGAGCCCTAAACCTTGATGAAAGGCCCTGACATACCAGAATGACCCTGTGTAAGCCACAATGGAGCTGCGATCTCGATAGCAAATAATGGAATACCTACAGGTCATAACGGTCTACATGTCAAAATGGGCCCTCCAAAGGCCAGAATGGGTCCTTTTAAGATCAGAACGAACCCTCTTAAGGTCAGAATGATTCCTTTACAGGCCAGAATTGGCCGCCACAGCCAATAATGGGCCGTATTCTGATCAGAATGGGCCTCGACAGGCCGAAACGGACACTCTTAAGACTCTGAATTGCTCTTCTTTGGTCAGAAGGGGCCCAAAAACCCCAGAGCGAGACCTTCACAGGTCAGAATGCACTTCAACATCCTTACATTACCCCATTACCGTTCAGCATGGGCCCTTAACATACCAGAATCGATCCTTCACAGACCCTCCAAGTATGGGAAGGGGGCGGCAACCCATAGCTTTCAAGTTGGGGGGGGGGGATACCCCACTGTCCCGCTTCCCCGGTTACAACGTCCTTGTTTGGGCGCAATCCCCCTCCCCTGGAGATGGCGTGTGCCCCGGGAGCGGAGGGTGTTGTTCAAAGTCGTTCGTTCATCAACATGTCAGTGATCCTCGTTTTTCAACAATATCAACGTATCAACAACAAGCAACTTTGTTCACACTACGAAGCCCTGACTCGTTCCGGCCCCGTTCCGTTTTACTTGTATGTTTACAGGACCCAGGTGTACCACCCACGTCACTTTCGTACTCGACACACGGCAATTTGACGACGGCGTGTTGTGTAACACTCCTGTGTGACCAGCAGCAGGCTCTGGGAGCGCGGGTAAAAAACCTCTCTGTTTCGGCAACTTTGCAGCGTATTTTTCCCTGTTGTGGAAGCCTTACATGTGCTGGAATATCTGCGCTTCCTGGAAACATGTGGAACAATTAAAGTATGTTAAATGAGTGATAAATTTCGAATGTGACTGAATTGCAGTCTTGCTGCCATTTGACATAAAAATAGACACTGTTTGACGTTGCCAGCACATATTGTTATTATAACGACCATTATTGGATCCATCGGCCTATACACCTCGCACCTTATCCAGACAGTGGCTTTAGCTGGCATCAAACAATCATCAATGAAGTTGTGTGCACGAACACGGGTTTTGATTTGTATTCTTTTTGGGTGAGTCCCTGCTTTCCCCAACATCCAATCTGGCTTCCCCAACGACGTGTTTGCTCCCCCCAACCTTCTGGAGCCCAAATACATGCAGTACATAAGACTAGTGAAGGCCTCGTGAAGGCCTAACTAGCGAGGCCTAGTGAGCGCGCGGCCGCAAATGCCTGCTCGCTGCACGTTGGCGTGGACGCCAGCCTCTTGAGCACGCGGCGCGCTGCCGCGCTGTGTGAGGCCGGCAATTGCACGGATATTGGCCGGGTGGGCACAGGCAATGCTTATTCACACAAACTGTCGACAGCGCAAGCACGTTTGGCGCCCACCACTCGGCCAATTTGCTGATCGAGCCGCTGACAAGCTCAGGCAGCCAGAGTCCTTAGAGCGTCATTATCGGCTGCTGCTTCTGTCCATATTTCAGTGGGCTGTGGTCGCTGATTCAGCGCGAGCGAATGGAAGATGTCCGGGGGGCCATTATGAGGTTTGCTCATGGGAATTGACGGCGCGTCACATCGAACCAGACTACGCTGTTTTGACTGCAATTGACAGTGAAAAGCAACGTCTCGACTCTTGTGTAATGTAGTCACTTCCTTAGCGAATTTCGAAAGCGCGGGGCTTTGACCGCCAAATACCAGTGCTTGCAATGGAGGTAGCAAACGACGCTTGAAAATGGTTAGAAGATTTATTCATAATTCTTTTTGTTTCAATTTTCAAGTGGCTACAGGCTCATGTCCATTGCTCTCTCAGGGAACTTACCAAGTAAAAGAAGCATGCATTTTATAGGATAAAAACAAAAGGATGTATTTGAAAATGTAAAAGAAGTATGCAATGTGGAGTGCCTAAATAGCTGTGCAGTTGGCTACAAAAAACGACCTATCTTGGATGCAGCAGACGTTGGCTCTTCATCAGTCTGCAAAATTAGCCGTCGTTCCAGTTTGCTAGATCTCGAGATGAATAAAACACAACTTAATCCAGTGTTAGTTTATAAAAAGCAGGTGGGGCTGCAAGCTAGTAGCGTTACGTATTTTATGGTGGCCTTATATTATGATGACACCAAGTCCGTGTGCCTGGAATGAAAAATAGGGCTTCTTGATGTTAGTCGTGAAAATCAACTGAAGGAATACCTAGGTTCGAAAGCTTCTTACAATTTCTTGCTTCGGAACTGATAATATTGTAAGGTAGATTATGTGTATCCAAAATACAAAATAGGATTGGCGGCCCCATGAGGGCTTATTTGGGGAAACGAGCCTTACTTGGCATGGCGGGTTTTCAGATTTGGGAGCGAGGCGTTTACGGGCTTTCCCAGTTTCAGAAAGTGGCAGCTCTACCGTGCGAGTTAAGCCTTGGCGGGTAGGTCTCCAGGTGTGTGCAGCCTTGCCACACCGTCACCCACGCTCGTTCATCCTACAGCCCTGAAATGATCGAGGCTGGTCGATAGGGCTCTAATCCGAGTAACTAAACAACCGGTTTGACCTGAGACTGAGATTAGCTTCAGTTTTAAAGGCGTTTGTTTCTCCAAACGCAATACACAAGACAACGTGATTAGCTTAGCCGGTCGGTGAATGCGACGCGCGCTAGGCAATCGGTCAGAACACGAGGCGACAGCATTTCCAGCAAAAAAGGCGTGCAATCCAGCGATTGTATCCATTTCGACCCTCATCCAAACGTGATATCTTACGCCACAGTCGCGGCGACCTGCGGCGACCACGTCACTGATCCAGTGAGTTCCAAGGGCACAAGTCGCAGATCCGATCAGGTCCTGGCGACCAGGTCACTGAACTGATCAGGTCCAGACCATCAGGTCACCGATCCGATCAGATACAGACCATCGGGTTACCGCAGGTGTCGTTGTCGTCACGATGCGACCGGATTATCGCTGATGTCACCGGAAGGTGTCACGTGACTTAAGCAACAAAAAAAAAGTAAAAAATGACGGAACAACAACGGCTTGTCGTCGGACTGGTGTTGTTACGTCACGTGGGGGACCAAACACAGCGAAACGATGTGCTCAGTGGCAGCCAGAAGGCATAGAGGCGTGATTTTGGTACAACGGTGACCATGACAAAATCTTCCGTAAAACGGCTTGCGTCTTCCCACGTTCAGAGACACTGAAACTGTAGTCACCTCGCTACGCACCGGCACTGCGAACAATGCATCCCAGACGGCAGGACTGTCGCACATCCTGAGTTCAGCACTGAGCAGCCAGCCGGCTGCCAACGATAGTTTATGTGTGAGACCGTCACGCACGCAGTCTCTCCCCTGCTGCCGCTCTGCGAGCCGCGTTACAGCGTGTGACAGCTGCGTACCCCTGACCGGCCGAAGTGTCTGACCCTGTCCGCCTGCCATTAATCCATTAGAGGCGCAGGGCGGCGGACGGAGGAAGGACCTCGCAGCGCGCGTAGCTGCGCCGGGCGCCCCCCGGGGGCGGCGCAGGTGCCGTCCGGCGCCGCAGAGGCCCCGCGACGCGCGCCGGAACCGTATAAAAACGAGCGGTGCGGCGCCGCAGACGTCATAGCCAACGCCGCGGCGCACGGACCAGACAGCGGCACCGACGGCGTTCAGGCCAGGCGGCAGCACCGACGGCGCACGGGCCAGACAGCAGCATCGACGGCGCAGCGCACAGCCGAGTGAGGAGCATCGTCGGAGAAGCGCAGCACCAGCACTGCCGGAGCATCGCACAGGTGAGCGACCAGCACCGCCAACACGACGCTCTGAACAGCGGCGCGTGGCACAAACAGACATAACCCACAGACACTGTTCAGTATAGAGAGTAGCACGGCAAACGTTGCTGACCTTGCAACATTATGTACCGCCCCCCCCCCCGCGAGCTGAGCCGTTTCCATATGTACGAGTAGGCAATACGTCCACAGCCAATCATTGCATCTCCGTGCATTGTCAGCAACAAACGTGTTCCTGGTGCGCACTCTTTTATTCCTAAAATATGAGATATGTGGTAGTCAACACCATATGGGTCTGGTACTTTGCTTGTGTATGTGCATAAAGCCGTTTCTTCAAAAGCTCTCCATTCGACCAACTTCGGGTTTTTACACACAAAAATACTTGAGCGACGAAGGAGGTACCGAACAACAAAATACCATCTAGTCATCATTAAAAAAAAGTATGCAATCCTCTCCACTGATAAGAAAATGTGACTGCATGAGATTTAAACCATTCTTTCCTTATTGGTCGTTTTCCCTGTTTGATATTGCAGTCATGTTGTCAGTACCGCTTTGCCAAAGCTTGCGTGCACCACACATTTATATGCCGCATCCCGCGATTGATGCACCCCACCTCATTCACGGGGTATGTGACTAAGCATAACTCGGTTTTTAACGACCCGGCCATGCAGTGACGATGCCGTGACGATGCCCGCACGGTGCCCTGTTATGCGGCCTGGCGGTGTGCCGATGAGGGGGGGGGGGGCAGGTGAGACGCGCCGTCCAGCCCTGCAGCACCGCCGGACTCGGGCAAGTCGCTCGCGCTGCCGGCCGGCCGCCGCGCCGGAGGGCGCACTGCGGCGCGGCCGGTGTTTTTCACATCGTGTTTTTTCTTGCTGGTGTAGCCTCAATCATGCCTTACGAAGCTGGGCATAGCACTCGAGCCGCCGTTGATGGGTGGTGGGGAAGGGAGGGGGAGGAGGCTGAGCTTCCCAAGTTTCGGAGGGCTGCATGCTCTCTGGCTGCTGACTTTTCGAGATTCACAACACGATCTTGCTGCAAATTCACCAGCACACATTTGCACACCGTCTCAGTCGCAACTGGCTTGTTTCTGAAATGGGTTTTGAATAGATCTGGGCATATAACTCCAAATTAAAGGCCAGAATACACGATCAGGTAACACGGGAGCCTAGCGCGGGTGACGGCTTCGTACCCGATTACTCAAGTAAACAATACAACAGGAGTCATTCAAAAATGTCATAGCTGGGATGAGTTACAATGGAATCAGTACAGGCAAGTCGTCATTCGTTCAATCGCAAGACAGTCACTCGGAATATCCCACGTTGCTTTTTTGTTTTACTGTGCTCTGGCGCGTCTATGGCATGTGTTCGATTCTTACTTCCCGTGGTAAGTTTCATGGACACAAACTGCAGCAAACACAATGTAAAAACGAGCTGTTAAGCACAAAGGTCGGCTTGGTTTGTCTTACTTAATATTTCTACTTTTTAGTTGTGTGTGAGGTGAAATAGCCTGTAAGACCTGTCATTCCCTGCCCAGATATTCACGCGTTGGAAGTAGAAAAATTCGGGATATGGCTCCCTCTCACATAAACTTTCCACCGTTAACATTCGGTTCTTTATCGCAGGATATTCGTATTTCCATCATAGATGAAAAGAAACCGTATATTACTTTCACAAAATGCTGTTGCATGGATGAATACCTGTAAGTACTGTGAACAGCGTGTCGTGAGGAAAATGCACTGAAAAATTTAAAATTAAACTCACGATGACGAACAATCTCGCAGGAGCGATTTTCAGCTTCGCCTTCGCATTCATTGCGCTGCCTCTTTCATGTATCGAGGTTTATTTGTGAACTTTTACGGCGAAAGGCTGCGAAATGCACCAAAGCTACAATAACAGCGTCACTTTCAGTGTCCATCACAAATGCGCCTCTCGAAGAGATTTTACCGACTGGTGACAGGGATTATTAGAAATCGTTTAGAGTGCACCGCTTTTATTTTAGCCGATATCTTTGCCTCATCATTACGACAGGTAATTACATGGTGCACATGGAGTGACTGATCAAAGGCCTTGGAGGCCGCTTAGCTCGCGAAGCTTCGCATTGCATAACTGGTAGTACGCCACTGGAAGTAAACAGCAGGGGCTCTTCGATTTAATTTTGCAACTTGCTTCGAACTCAAAAATTGTTGTAGCCGTCTGGTATCTTGGCAATATTCTTCAGCCAATGATGCCAAAAGGGTGGCTCTTCACACTGGGACTTGACTCCGGATTTCTGGAAGCAGATGCTCGCTATCAGCAAAATATAACATTCATTTCTTGGCAGTTTTTTGTTGCCGTTGGAAAAGCTGGACAATAGCGCCAATAGCGGTCTCCGTCATGCAGCCTGCAATCAGAGGCCGACATGTCTTTAGCGGAAATTGAAATTTTAGCACGTCGTTGTACACCTAGCAAAATTCGAGTCTTACGTTGAAGTTCATGTACAGGACTTCTTTCTACCCGACTTTTATTGCCCTGCCTGGACATCAGATTAGCACAAAAATCGTAACAGCGCAAGGCGAACAAATATGTTTATTTATAATGGTAAGGGCGTTACGTCTCACCGACCGCCAGGGTCATTTCGAGACGGATGCCTTCATTAGGTAGCACGTGGGATACGTTGGTAGCATGACAGGGATCCGAACACAAGACTGATGGTTCACAGCCGGGCACCCTGACCACTACACCACAGTCACCCGCAAACCTGTCTACGTAAGTATCTGTATTGATGACAGACCACGCGAACATGAACATGCTGTCGTAAAACGGAGTGTCTTGTGCTGTCTCACGGTAGTATGAATTTGTAAGCCTAATGTAAACCTAAAAGTTTGATCAGCGTTGGAGAGCCCAGCATGTTTAGCTGAAAGTGGACTTTGGCATGTAAATGGACTCCAATGAAAATGCACACGCCAGGGCGTGGCACATGACATATCTGGTAGTTTGTTCCCAGGAATAAATTATGTACGAAAAACAAAACATAACTTTCGAAACCAGCTCAAAGAGAGGGTTTATGTGCTATTTGCTCAGGGTGCGTCTGTGTGCATGTCCGTCACGTTTTAAAGGCGGCGTTACGTCTTGCATAACACCATCCACGAGCAGAACAGTGGGTCGCTGAGTAGTGAAATGTGGACACGGGGTGCAGACGCACGAGGCGGTTTTCCACAGGAAGATCGCGAGTCACTGCGGTCCAGGGTTCGGGCGTGGCACGTGGCGGATGAACCGTTTTAGTTTCATTGGTTTTCAACGGGCGGCCAGAAATGTCACCGGCAACAAAACCGGCGACCAGGCAACCAGGGACCGGAGCGACGAGAAATTCACACGCTTAGGTAGATAGTGGAACAGGGAAACGCGTGGTGCCAGACACAAGGTCGGACTCGCCACAAGGTATGTGCATAGAAGCTGCCAATATTAATTCGACGGTTTTTACATCATCACGCGTTTTTACTGTATTCCGGCAGCCAGAGTGTTTTTGAGGCGCGAATTCCATTCGAAAACGTCGACCGATGCACCGCCGTTTATTCATGAGGCCAACACGAGTGAACGCGACGCGCAGGTGCACCAGTATTCGTTGGGTAAGCCAGGAATGTTAGCATTTGAAAAAGACGGTGTCGAATACAATACGCTTTCGTCGAAACTGTGACCAGGTCGCGGCTATATTGACATCGCTGCGTCTACTGATTCGTTTAGGTATCTGACTACATTTATCATCCATTTATTTGCCACCATATGCACTCTCCTGTCCACAGATGGATTGTACCTAGACGGTGACAAATTTAAATTCTCGTGTCGCCAAAATGGAACCGGTAGACCCAAGGGTCCAGCCGCCGGCAGCCAGCATTTTAAGTAAAACGACGAATCGTACGCGCGCCGTATCTTGTCGGCATCCGACAGCCGTCACTCATTCATTCATCCATTCATTCAATCCTCCGTTAGATGTGGCGGGAAAGGGGAGCTGTGGTGACAATCAAGTGCATTACCCGAGCTCTTCGCTTTGACAAATGCCAGAGAAACCCCACGCATCGACCGAACAATGAGTTGCAACGAGTTCGATAAGAAGACCTACGAAATGCATTAGGTTTTCAGTGAAGCCTGCTGCTACGACAAAACAGTACTATTACATTGGCTTCACGAGGCGTGTGTTGGAGTCACTAACGAGTCTGACACCACAGAAACATTGCAGCAGCATGGGCAAGTGGCAGTGGCGAAATTAGGGTTATATGACATTTGCAGTGGTAGAAAGTGCGGTTTTCTTGAAATTTTGCAATGCATAACAACGTTTCAATCGCAGTGGAGATCTGGAGAGCCAGATGTGAACGTCCCTGGTAGTCAGCACAGAACACCCGGTTTCCGACAGACATCTGAGCAGCCAGGGTTCAGGTCGGTTTGGAATCAAATGAATGGTGCTCAGCGCATCCCGAAAATAATGCAACCATAACTCGTATATAGACGCTCCGTCGTTTAGTGAAGTGAGCCCGCCAGCTCTTGTCTTCAACTGTTTGCTTAGGGTGCATCTGTCTGTCAGTCTGCTTGTCCCGTTTTGCGTAACGCCGTTCACGGGCCGAACGGCGGGTCGCTGAATAAATGCTGGCCGGAAATGTGGGGAGCGATATTTGAACGCTGGACAATCGCTGGCTTTGTATTAGTAATTAGATCGGGTGCTCATTACAGAAGAATGCCTTAAATGATGCTTCTGGATCACTTATTTTTACTGCTTTGTGGTGCATTGTCAGCTTTGAGGCGTGGATAGGTGATCGCGCGATGGCACGAAATCCACAAACGGTGTGATAACGTTTATCATATGTTTGCAGTGATGCTACCCTATCGGTTTTCGATACCCTATCACCCTCTTTATAAGCGTGGAAGTTCCAGATGCCTAAACAGCTTCATTTGATCTCTTTTAAGAAACAATTGCAAACCCAGGATAGCGTGGACCCATAGGTAGCATTAATATGAACGTTGCAAAAGGGG